ATATATATACTTTACAAACATAAGTTGAATCCAATGAGGATCTTGTCTTAACCCAGGCTCTTATACAATGCTACTTTTATGGTTGTTAAATGTGCTCCATTGTGGTACAAAATATCTTTGATATCTCATCATACGCACAACAATGGAAATATCTTTGTCTATCATTCTTCTTTCGCGAACTTGCACTCCGTACAAACCACCGACTTCACTACCTCATCGATCATTTGTGATGAAGTCACTTTCCTCATCACCTTTGGCGCTAGTGACTTGCAAGTGTCAAACATATGGTACACCTCCTTTTGCCTCTGCATAAAGTTGAGCTGGCTGTCATAACTATTAAGCAAAAATGAAGTGGCATAAGAAAGATATTATTGTATAGATGCTCCATTTGATATATAAATGACATTTAATATTGTGTAGGTTAATAAATGAGCCAAATCTTATATCAAAAAGTTATGAATGCTAATAAAAGTGGCCAGATTACTAACATATAGCATCATGGCTATGAAGAGAGCTATTAGAAGAGGACAAAAAGTGATAACAAGGATTAAGGCTCGTTGTTTAGGGTAGGTTTCGAAGAGGAAAGTGGATAGTAAATGAGCCCATTTTAATTCCAAAGCAAGGAAATGATACTAAACTTTATATGCTAGATTGGGTAAATACAAGACATTTTTCAAGTTTTTAATTTAGGCAATAAATTAGATAAAGCCATACAAACTTTTTGAATTTGCACCCATTATTATATCATATAATCATAAAAATCTTGTACAAGAAAGAGCATAGTAACGATGCTCGAACTAGCTATCAAGAGATGTGCAATCATAAATGTAACCAAAAGACAAAAAAAAAACATTTATTTATATTTTTCATTAAATAGTATAAATGTTAATGGTATTTAATATAAAAAAATTATCAATTCTATTGAATTACTAAATTAAATTTATTTTTCATTGATTTAGTGCTCAAACATAAAATATTGGTGGCGTGGCGTAAAATATATAAATAGACAACTTTTTTGTAGGGATGAAGACTTGGTTTTTAGCAAAAAAATTGCAATGTTGAGTTGTATCCACACAATTTTGCTATGAAAAAATGGGTATTAGTTACTGCTGCATTTATATAGCAGGCATGCCATTCATCATCTATCATAATCATCTCTATCATCGAAGGCCATCTCAAATATTACCATTGCAAGTTGTGTATAAGCAACCTCTAGGATCATATGGTATATATGCCTCCACCTTTACATGTCGTCTAACATAGGATACATCTCCCTCTTCCTCTGCAAATATTCTTGCTAGTTTTAATAATTTCATTGTCGCAATTCAACTGCTATTGGAACATCAATATTCCACCACTTCATTGGGAACCTCTTCAGAAAGGTAAGGATGAAGCAACCTCTCTTCTTAGCGATTACTACAAAATCAAACGACTCATTTATTCACACCTTACGGTAGATCTCCGTGGTAGATGTTAAATTATTATGACATCACATATAAGTTAAGATTTGATATGTGGGGATCCCAAGCATTAGGCTTGTGATATTCTTAAAATCTTGTGCGATATTGATTGGAACAAAAGAATTTTTCCTACATTGAACTCTTTAATGTGATTAAGGAAAATGATTGAAAATGAAGCAACATAACAAGTTAATAACTTTATATTTTTCATCTCAATCAATGATATATGGTAGAATCGATAATAGTTATAAATATAGGAATAGTGTGGGGCTAATTTTGTTAAACATTTGTAGTTTTGGAAGAGCGTATTTCAAGCAAAGGCACAATATTTGTGGTATCAACACGTGGCTATTTTTATTGTTATAAAGAGAGATTTGTGCAATTTCATTTATAAGTGTAAATGTTGTATAATAAATGAGAATATTGCTTCATTTGGGACGGCTTTCTTACTTCTTCTTAAAGAATCTTTCTAGTAATAAAAATTTATTTTTGTACAAAAAAGCTGACTTAAGAAGCATTAAGAAAACCGTCCCATATAAAACATATATAAGATTTAAAAATTCATTTCAAGATGCATGGGCAATTATATAATTTTGGTAAACATTTTTATCACGCACAAATTTTATGCTATATATAACCATTTGTTGTTGTTGTTGTTGTTGTTGTTGTTGTTGTTGTCGTGTTATAGAAATTTTGGTTTTCGGTGAGGATGAGTCTAAAAAAACTTAGATCTGGTTTAAGAATAACGCCGTCCTATATGAATAATTTGAATTACGCAAATCTTAAATCAAAATTAAGAGGTTTGAGACTCATCTTAACAAATTTTTTGATAGAATAATTTGATATAAACTTTTCAATTATTCTATTATATTTTCGTAATATAAAATATTATAATGTGCAACCCTATTATTCTTATCCCCATAAATATAACATGGAATTCTGTTGTTGCACCTTTGCCATCCTCAAGAGTCACTTTCTCGCTGGTTTCTCTCATTTACAGGGAGCGCGATATTTTCCTGATCGGAGGGAGGAAAAATAATGGCAGATTCCAAAGCAGTTACCATCAGGACCCAAAAGTTCATGACTAATTGCCTTCTCTCGTGCAAGCAGTTCGTGATCGATGTTCATCATCCGGGAAGGCCGAATGTGTCCAAGGCTGAGTTGAAAAATAAGCTAGCGAAGCTGTACGATGTTAAGGATCAGAACTCGATCTTTGTGTTCAAATTCAAGACGCATTTTGGCGGTGGGAAGTCTACTGGGTTTCGTGTGATATATGATTCTTTGGAGAGCGCTAAGAAGTTTGAGCCCAAATACCGACTCATCAGGAATGGATTGGCCACAAAGGTGGAGAAATCAAGAAAGCAGATGAAAGAAAGAAAGAACAGAGCTAAGAAAATTCATGGTGTGAAGAAGACCAAAGATGGAGATGCTACTAAGTCAGGCAAGAAGAAATGAATGATGTCTTCGGCTACTTATGAAATTATAGTTTACATTTTTTTAGTGCTTTGAGAGATTTTGGATTTTGGAACTATTTCATTAGTCTTTTATAGTTTGTTATGTTAAATCTCTTTTAAGGATATTTTTTCAGTACCTATTTGTTGTTAATTGTATGACTTGAGCATTAGATTTCTATAAATAAAAAAAAATTGATAATTTAGGACGGTGGTCTAGTTCAAATTGGTTTCTTTTGTTCAATGTTTACGTGGTCTAACAATCACTTATGTCATAGATTGGATAGAATTTTATTTAATTTTGAATGGGTGTTTCTTAAAATGAAGATTTGTTACGTAACCTGTCTTTTATTCCTACTATTTTTAATGATGAGGATAAAGTTCGATTTAATAATTGCCCAAATTACATTTAGATTTAGAATATCCTTATGGATATGGACAATGATGTTGTGGCTGATCCTAATGGCTTTACTGTTTCTTTTTATCAAAACTGTTGGAGTAAAAAAAAAATCTAGAGCGGCGGAAGAGCTCTGCTAGGGTTAGGATTTTTTTGGCGATTCGCTTCGTGCTTCTCCGGAGAAGGGGCTGGAGGGATCCTATGGATCCCTCCGTCTACGACGATGCTTTTCCTCTTCTCGCTAACCCTATCATCTCGTCATCTGCTGCGGGGAAAAAAATACCACGTTCTTGGGATCGAATACTCTCGGGTCCACCTTCCAATGCATGTGAGTTCTTGATTTCTCTTTTGCCGACTGAAGAAGAAATCATCAACTTCCCTTCGGAAGATATTGTGGATGCGGTGGATGAATGGGATCTTGCTCTGGTTGGGTATTCGCTTGGGAAGAGACCGTACTATGAGGCGCTTCTTACTGCTGTGAAGAAGCTATGGAATCTCAAAGGTAGTATGAAACTTATATCTCTTAGTGACGGTTTTTTTCTGTTTAAGTTTTCTAGTGCAGAAGACTTTGACCTTGTCTGGTCTAGAGGTGCCTGGTTTATTCTAGGAAAACCTTTTATCTTTTAAAAATGGACTCCTCACTTCTCTCCTATTCGTGAAGAACTCACCTCTGTTCCGATCTGGTTTAAGATTCACGATCTTCCTTTATGTTGCTGGACTCCTGTTGGAATTTCTAAAATAGCTACTAAAGTTGGTCATCCTTTAGCCGTTGATGCTCTCACTGCTTCAAAATCTAGACTAACTTACACTAGAGTCTGCGTCCAAGTGGATGCTTCGGCAACTTTTCCGGAAATTATTCCGATATGTGTGGATGGAAAGATTTTCAATCTTAAAATCCAGTATGAATGGCGTCCTACACTTTGTGCTCACTGCAGATCGCTGAACCATTTAACTTTGAACTGCTCTGCAAATCCTAAACCTGATATAAACCCTATTGCTAACCCACCCAGGGGAAGAAGCAAGAGCCGTAGACCAAGGCCGCACTCACAAAATCTGAAAGGTCTGCTTCCTTTACCTAATTCTTCTAACTCAATTCCTGAACTGGCTAATGATCCGCAAGAGAAAAATGGAGATACTTCTATGAACAGAGATGACATGAATGCTCCAAGGTTAGATAATAATGTTGCTGATATTGCTAATCAAAACATTAGTCTAACTAATCACGCGGATAACGTTAAAAACAAGGGGCTTATTTCTGAGGATGGGGTTAGTTTTCAACCTGTTAATGAGATCATTGAGACTACGTTGAATGTTGAGTCTAACACTTTATTAGGGTCTAAAGATCCTACTCACATTCTGACAGGGACTAACATGAAGATTCCAAATCTCAATTCACCCACTTCTTTGAATTCATCTTCTAATGCTTCTACGGTTCGTTCTGAAGGACAAAAGGCTTTAAATATTTTCTCTTCTAACAAATTTAGTGTCCTTCAGGATGCTAATGAAGCAGAATCCTCCTCAACTATGCTAGGTGAGGATACGGGTGATCCTATAGAATCTACAGCTAAATATAAAAATGATAAACTGGAAGTCTCTACTTCTAATAAGCAGCACTCTTCTGATCCTTCTTCTCAAAGACAAACTAGGGGAAAGGGCAACCGGAAAGGCCCTTATCAAAAATCCTAGTTATCCATGACTTGTCCATCCTTAGCAGCTTGGAATATCAGGGGTTTTAATAACCCTGATAAAGTTCTCTGTTGTAGGAATCTGGTTAATGAGCATAGGCTTGACTTAATTTGTATTCTTGAGAATCGTATCAATTCTTCTAATCTCCTGGATCCTTGGTTTTGTTCTACTCACAAGGTTTTTGACAATGAACAAAGTTTTAATAACTTTGAGAAGGCTTCTTCTGGAAGAATCTGGATTAAATGGAATTTGGATAAAATTTCTTTTATGCCTAATTTCTCTTCCTCGCAAATGATCTCGGGCCATTTGATGATGGGATCTCATTCTCTTATGATTCTCTCTGCTGTGTACGCCTCTAACTCTTTTGATGAGAGGAATAAGCTATGGGCTGATTTGGGAGCCGTTAATCCTCAAGGTTCCTTACCTTGGGTGGTGATTGGTGACTTTAATACTTGCAGATTTCAATCTGAAAAGAAAGGAGGGAACATCTTAGCAATTGATAGGCTAAATCCGTTTAACTCCTTTATATTTGACAATAATCTGTTAGAACTCCCTTCCTCCGGAATTTTTCACACTTGGTTCAACCAAAGGCTAGACAATCCTATTCATCTTAAACTAGAAAGAGCTTTAGTTAACGAGGCTTGGATTAATCATTATCCTAACTCTCACTATCTAGTATTGAGTAGTCTGGTTTCAGATCACTCTCCTCTTATTCTTAGAGATCAACATAACCTCAATTCTAAAAAGAGGTTTATGTATAAAAACTATTGGAGCCATATTCCGAATTTCTGGAGCATTTTATTGAATATTTTTTAAATCCCAGATTCTGGGAATCCTATTGTCAGTCTTTATAAAAAGCTGAAGCTTTTGAAAAGAGAGATTAAAGCAATAAATTGGAGTAATTCCAATCTTATTGCTAAAAAATGTGCTTTATTGGTTGAAAAACAAAGTAGATATCAAAGGATGGTTGATATTGACCCACTTAATAGAGATTTATGTGGAGATCTCAAAAAGATCACGGCTGAAATCAATTACTATAACTCTCTCCATGCTTCTTGGATTATTCAGAGATCGAAAATTAATTGGCTAAAAAATGGTGAGGATGACCTGAAGTTTTTGTATTCCAAGATCAGGAATAGGAAAGCTTTTAATGGTAGCTCTCTTGTGGCTGCTACTCAACATAATCATGATCAAGAGAATAGTAACATTCCTAGTATCATCCAGCTTTTCCAAAAGCTTTACAACTCTGCACCTCCTGAAATTAATGATGTTGGTATTATTCCTAAAGGCAAAACTTTATCTGAAGAGGCTTTCAATTCTTTAGTGAAACTTGTCACTAATGAGGAAATTCGTTTAGCCATTAACTCTGGCAGTTCTAACTCGGCGCCGGGACCTGATGGATTTAATTTTGATTTCTATAAAAAAACTTGGAGCATTACTGGCCCTCTTGTCTGTAAGGCCATTAAATCCTTTTTTTGTAAATGCTATTTACCTATCAGTGCCAAGGCTACTGCCATTGCACTTGTTCCTAAGAGATCTCATGCTGAAAACCTTCAAGATTTTCGGCCAATTTCTCTGTGCAATGTCTTTCACAAAATTATTGCAAAAATATTGGCAACTCGTATGAAAAATATTATGCCTGATATCATTGAGATCAATCAAGCAGCTTTTATTCCCAATAGAGTTATCTCTGATAACTCCATCTTGGCTATGGAAATTATTAATCTTTTCAAAAAGCATTATAAGCTGGATCTATTTTGTGCTAAATATGATATTAGGAAGGCATTTGATATAGTATCCAGGAAATTTCTTTTTGCTAGAATGGCTGATAAAGGTTTTCCCATTATTTTCATTAATTGGATCAAAGCTTGTATTAACGACATTTATTTCTCTATTTGTCTGGATGGATCGATGGAAGGATTCTTTTCCTCTTCAACCGGACTAAGACAAGGTTGTCCACTTAGTCCCTTTTTATTTTGTATCGTCATGGATGCACTTTCATGTCTTTTAGATCATAACTCTGATGATAATGGGTTTGAGGGATTCAAAATGGAAAATTTTCAATTGACTCATCTTTCTTATGCGGATGATCTTTTGGTATTTGGGAAGGCTGAATCAAATAATTGTGCTAAGCTTATGAGAACTCTTAGCCTATTCTCCAAGCTTACTGGGTTGCAGTTGAATTTACTGAAAAGTTCTATTATTATTTCACCCCATGTTTCTAACCCAAGTGTCATTTCAAATGAGCTGCAGATTCACAATATTTCTACTAAGTTCTCTTACTTGGGAATTCCTTTATCTTTTAGTAGAAATAAGATTACTGATTTTGCTCCTCTCTTGGAGAAAATAACGGTATTACTGTCAGGTTGGAAGGCTAGGACTCTCTCATTTGCTGGCAGGTTGCAATTCATTAAATATACCATAATCAACTCTGTGGCGTATTGGATTAGGAGCATGATTATTCCTAAGTCTATCTACAAGTACATAGGAAAGTTATGCTCTAAATTTTTATATCATGGGGACATTGATAGTAAAAAAATTCACCTAATCTCGTGGAAAAATACTTGCAAACCGTATTATTTGGGTGGTTTGGGTATTGCATCTTTTCAAGCCTTAAATTTTGCTTACAATTGCAATACTATTATGAGATGTTACAATTCAATCTCTACACTTTCTAAGTGGCTGCTAGCTAGATATTCATCTCCTTGGAAACCTACTCCAGCCTATGCGACGGTGTTCTGGAAAAGCATTTGTAAAACTGCTGTAGAGACAAGGGAGAAATTCAATTTTTTTATTACTAACAATAGTCCTATTTCTATTCTTTGGGACCATTGGTGTTTGGGAAATACTATCTATGAAAAAATTCAAAACAGCCACATTGATTTAGCTATTGACAGTCAGCTGGCGAGCTGGATTAATAATGGGGAATGGTGTATTCCAGACACTGTTAATTCCTCTATTAGGAATTTTATCCTGAATATGCACATTGATAATGATGGTAAGAAGCATATAGGATGGGATAAGAAGGAAAATGCTAAGTTTAAAGATTTTTATCTATCTTATTTTGCGAATGATATCCAGTATGATTGGCACCAGTTGGTTTGGCATTATAAACATGCTATGAGGTATTCTGTTTATTCCTGGATGGCGCTTAGAGGGGGATTAAAAACGTGTGACGTTTTGGCTGTTAGGAATATCCAGGTCAAAGATAACATTTGCAATCTTTGTTATAGCAATATGGAGACTATTTCACAAATGTTATTTGAATGTGACTATTCTTTTAATGTGTTAGTAAAGCTGATTCCTTCATTCCAGACACATTATTTTAGGCCAACTGTTTACTTAGCTCTTCTTTATATTGATAATAAGGATAAGGCTAAAAAGATCAAGGCTGGTCGCCTTCTTATTCTGAATGCTATTATTTATCATATCTGGATTGAGAGGAATAATAGAAGGTTCAAGTCTTCTGCTTTATGTGCCAATTCTCTGATAAAGAAAATTTCAAAAAATATTAATATTAAGTTGATGGGATGGAAAAATGGCATTGAGGTGAAAGAAGCTTTAAAACTCTCTTGGTAGAACATTGTACTAGGTTGGGTATCAATGCCTGATGCCAACCCATCTATGATGAAGTATTTGAAGTGATTTATCTCAACTGTGAACCATGGATTGCTGGTATCATTCTTTGATGCTCGATCCTTTTTGTAAGCAACCGGGAGATAACCTGTTACCATCGAGAAGTATTAATTAGCAGAATTTGTGCTGCGGACAATGATGATCATCTGCTATTCTTCTTTTAGATGGCCTTAGTGGCAACCAAAGAAGATTGGGTGTGGGATTTGAAAGGTTTTCTTTTTCTGAGTCCCAGCAACTCAAACTATCCAGTCCGTCTATCAGATTTCAGACATTTATTCCGTCTCCAGCTGAGTTTCTACTTCTCTGATCCGTTGAAGGAAGGCTGCTTCAGAATGTCAAAGTTTTTCTGATTAATTGGTTCTTCAATTTTTCTGTTTGTTCTGTATTTGCCTTTTATTTCTTTTTCTCTGAATTCTGGTAGCTTGTTATTAGGCTGAATTGTTATGGTTTTTATTTCAGTTATCTGTAAGCTGCATTGTTTTAATAAAACGGGCTATGCCCTCAATTTTCCCAAAAAAAAAAAAAAACTGTTGGAGTATTATTAAAGATGGCCCTTTACGAGTTGTTAAAGGTTTCTTTATAGGTATGGCTATTCCTAAATATTTTTCCAGCACTTCTATTGTTCTTATTCGTAAATGTGATAAACCTACTTTTAGGATATATTACAAACCGATTAGTCTCTGTTCTACTTTTACTGAGATTGTTTTTAAAATTCTAGCTTCTCACATGGCTAATTTCCTCTCCAAGATTATTTCTTAGTACCAGAATGGTTTTATTAAAGGGAGGAGTATTGTGGACAATATTTTGTTAGCTCAAGAACTCATTCATGATATTAATGTGAAAACATCTGGGGTTAATATGGTGATTAAACTTGACATCTCAAAAGCCTTTGACACTATCAATTAGAATTTTATTTATAAAGTTTTGCATCATTTTGGTTTTAATGCATAGAGTTCGCCAATCTAGAAAAAACTCTTGTCTATAAGAACAGTTCACTCATCCTTGGCTAAATTTTTAAAAGTAGCTTTAGGTTTGTTTGGGATGAAATTTTTGATGTTTTTAAGAGTATTGTTTTTGTACAAAAATTTTAATTTTTGTACTAGAAAGTTATTTTAAAAAACAGTAAAAAAATAATCTTAAATAAAACCTAATACTAATTAAAATTTGAAAACTAAGTGTAGATAAAATGAAATTTGAAAAAAAAACAAATACGCTAATGCGGAATACATATTATGGAATAATTTCTGTGTTTATGAGAAAACAGAAAACATTTCAACTTCGAAATTATAGGTTAGAAATCTAACATTTATTATAATTATTTTTTTGTTTCTAAAAATCAATTTGAATTCATGCCGGGTAGGTCATGTATGAAGTCATACATTTATTAAGAGGTTTGATGGAGAAATATAGAGAAAATAAGGAGGATCTACATATGATATAAATTTATTTATAAAAAGCATATGATAAAGTTCCGAGAGAAGTGCTATGTAGAGTTCTTGAAAAAAAAAAGAGTAAATAATTGTTATATTCAAATCATTATTTATATGTATGTATGAGCTATTACCTGTATTCAAACATAAGGTGGTTTGACCAAGTATTCCCCTATTTCGATTGGGTTAGATCAAGGATTAGCCTTAAGCTCATATCTTTTTGCTTTAGTCATGGATGTTCTCACTAGACTTTTACAAGAGGATGTACCCTGGTGTATGTTTTTTGCTGATGATATTCTTCTTATTGATAAGTCTAGAGAGAGAGAGAGTTGAAGGTAAATTTGAATTATGGAGGTCAGCCTTAGAGTCTAAAGGTTTTCTCTTAAGTAGATATAAAAAGGAATATATGGAGTGTAATTTTAGTAGTAATAGACCTAGTGAGGTGATTGTGACTTCGGGTGATACAATCAATAATAAGAGTTATGGTGAAATCGATGAGGATATTATCAATAAAATTCAAGTTAGATGGTTGAAGTGGAGGAATGCATCAGGCTTGTGTGATAAAAAAGTACCCCTAAATTTTAAGGGAAAATTCTATAAGATGGTGGTGAGGCATGCAATGCTTTATGGTGCCGAATGTTGGCCATCAAAAGAGAAATGAGCATATACGTGAAAAGGTTGGAGTAGCTCTAGTAGAAGATAAGATTAGAGAGAGTCTCCTTAGATGATTTGGTCACATAAAACGATGGCCTTCTGATGATCCGGTTAGGAAAGTAGAGGTAGATTTGACTTATGTTAAGAAAGATAGAGGAAGACGTAAAAAGACTTGGTTAGAAAAAATTAGAAATGATATTTCTTTATTAGATTTAAACGAGAATTTGACTTTTAATAGGACATAATGGAGAAAAAAGAATTAATGTAGCGGACCCCACATAGTGGGATAAAGGATCGATGTTGTTGTCTTTTTTATGTGATTTGAAGTTTAATTTCTTTTATTTTTTAGTTTAATAAGTGTAGTAATTTTTAAGTTTTTTTTTATAATAATCGTACGTGAATAGTTGTGATGATTTAAGTTTGTGAATGGTAATTTTTCAGCTTTGTAGTTTTATTTAAATTTTTTTCTCCACTTAATTTTTTTCAGTTAATGTAAAAAATATCTTAATATTTCATCATTTAAATAAAAATGATTAGAATAATTGATATGCACCAAAAATCAACTTGATCCAGCAAGAATCTCGAAGAATATTTGAGTTGGAAAATTCCAAAATTAAATTCGGGACCGTATTTCAACTTCAACAAACGTATAGTAAAACTTAATGTCTCAAAGAGATCAACCCAACGATACGAAAATCGGTCCAATACGAACCCAAATGGGTCCAAATCGAGGGCCTTAAGCCTATTTAAAAGATTCAAAGCAAAAATTGAATGATCAAATAATATCCACTACAGGAAAACACGCGATTACCGTCGGAATTTCCGGCTGATATTTGTGCGCCGGTAATCACGACGCAGGTAATGGGGCATTGTTGTGCCAGAAAACCTACGGCGGATTTTCCGGCGCCAACGACGCCGGAAATGTTCTGACGATATTGGCGCTGGTCTATGTGTCGGAATAAACCAATATCTCACTATTTCCGTCGCACTTTAAGGCAGAAAATCACCGGCATAATTACCGGCGGATATTACGTCGGGCTACTTAAACTCAGTGAAACAAATCCGACGAATGTTGCGCCAGAAACATTACCGGCATCGGATCCGCCGGAAAATCCGTCGGCGAAAGCCCTATTTTCATAAACCGAGCCCCTCTGGCCCGTCACTTCTTTCCTTCCGTTCTCTCACCTTGCCCGTAGATTGTCGTCGCCCTCCATCGCTCGCCCGTAGATCGCAGTTGCTCGCCCGTACATCGCCGTCGCCGACAGTCAGAGGAGTTTGCCGATGAGTCTCATAGCTTTTGTGGTCGCTTCACCGCCGACGGTCGTTCATCTTCGCCGATGGAAGGTTTTGTTTTTTCATTTCTTTGGACGAAATTTTTTCCTATTTCAGTTGGATTACATAGATTAGGTTTAAGAACATATCTTTTTTTCTTTAGCCATGAATTTCTTTTTTTGCTTTAGCCATGGATGTTCTAACCATATATTTGCAAGAGGATGTACCCTATTGTATGCTTTTTTTCTTTAGCCATGGATGTTCTTACCATACATTTGCAAGAGGATGTACCCTATTGTATGTATTTTGCTTTAGCCATGGATGTTCTTACCATACATTTCCAATATAGATGGCCTTGATATCTCCAAGTGTTGATTTAGGTTGTGGGAAGGTAGTACTAGCCTTTGGAATGCTTAATCATATTGAGAATAAGTGTCTATTATGGAAGATATACATTTTTTGAGAATAAGTGTCTATTATGGACACTTATAGAGAGAGTCATTAATAAGAAAACATGTTATTAGTAGAATTCAAGTTGGTTGGTTAAAGTGGAGGAATACATCAAACCTGTTGTGTGATACAAAAGGACCATTTAAACATGTAGGTAAAATTCTATAAATGATGGTGACACCTGCAATACTTTATGTCACATAATGTTGGCCATTAAAAGAGAAGTAAAAAATTAAGTTGAGTATTATAGAGATGAGGATGCTCAAGTGGCTGAGTGTCATTACTGTTAGAGACAATGCTAAATGGAGATAATGCTTCAGGCCTATTGTGTTATATATAGTGGAGGAATGTTTCAGGCCTATTGTGTGATTGATATAAAAGTATTGCAGAGATGAGGATGCTCATGTACTTGAATGAGTGTCTTTACTCTTAGAGACAATGCCAAATGATCATAATTTTCTACAAGCACCCCTATCTTTTTACATCTCTCTATAATCAGTTTTAGATCTACTTAAGCGCGATAATCCATTACTTATTTGCTCTTATATGTAGGTTATGGATATTAGAAATCAAAGAAGTTGGATGTATAACCGATTATCTCAAGGTCGGAAGACATTAACAGATGAATTCATTAATGGGGTGAACTTTTTCATTCAGCAAGCGAAGCGACTACCCAGCTTTTTATCAGAAGGAAAGTTTCGATGTCCATGCTCTAAACACAAAAATCTAGTGCACCTAGAACCAGATGATGTAATTGTTGATCTGTTATCGCAGAAGATTCATGCCACGGTATTGGTATTGGACTTGTCATGGTGAGTATGAGCCACAATTTGATTATTAATGCAGTCCTTCTACAAGTAGCAATATTACTGAGACTGAAAATATCCGACCAAATCTTGAGGAATTAGTTCATGATGCAACTGGAATACAAATTGAACAAAATACATAAGATTTACCGAATACGGAGGCACAAAATTTTTATGATTTATTGCGTGCTGCCCAGCAACCAATTTGGAAAGGGTGCACGGCTCACTAAGAATTATCTGTTGCTGTGAAGATGTTAAG